TATCATGGAGAGGCCAAGGGTCAGGGAGGATCTAGTTAGGGAACTTCTGGAGGGACTGGTTGTATTTAAATCAGCTGGTCCAGACGATCTCCACCCCCGAGTGCTGAGGGAATTAGCTGTGGTTATTGCGGGACCCCTGGCACGGCTGTACAAGCACTCGTGGTGCTCTGGTGTGGTGCCAGAGGACTGGAAGAGGGCCAATGTGGTTCCCATTTTCAAAAGAGGGAGGAAGGAGGACCTGGGAAACTATACGCCAGGTAGTCTTATCTCGATCCTGGGCAAGCTTTCTGAGAGAATTATCCTGGCGCATGTCCACGAGGGGCCAGCGGGGGAGATGATGCTTAGGGGCAACCAACACGGGTTCATTACCTAAAGGTAAAGCAGTAATTTTAGCCTTGTATATGAATGGCTAACACAGCCAGGCAATTAAATACATGTATCGTTAGGGGTGCACTGAACGAGGCAGAGCACAGCAAGAACTGTTATTAGGATGGTCAACGTGCTTTTAACTATAATTGATTGATGAACTATCTATTCCTTTTGATTTAAAATGTTTAAAAGAAAACCTTTACTTGGCAGAGGAAATAAAATGAGAAATGCTATAAATAGAAGCTAAAGCTCTGGGTAACTCTAAAACTGAGAGCCTTCATCTGAGTGAAAATGCTGTTGAGCAGAAAGCAGGGTAGCTTTGCACCTTGCAGACTAACCAAACCAGAGATGTAACCAGGTGGGACCCCAGAGACACCTGAGCTTGTGCATTGTGACATCCTATTTGTTACGGATGGAAGGAGAATCACTTCAGCTGCTCTGACTTTTTTTGTCCAGTACAGGACAGCGATTAACACAGCCACAGCAAGGGTGACAGGCAGCAGCAGGCATAATATTACAATGCTGATTTATTGTTACCCATGCTTGCTTCCTCCCAGCACCGTGTCTAAGATGGGGCATACGCTTGTAGAATCTGCAGCTACTAAGTCTTCGTCTCCAAGTAATAACATCACACCGGGCAGGTACGTATACAAGCAAGGGAGCATTTCCTCCCACCCAGCACAGATTAAACTGCATCAGCAAGAGGTCTTGATCTTTGTAGCCAAAATCTTCTCTCTATATCCTCTCTACTAGTCAGCATGAAACCGTTTAGGCACAGACTAGCTCATCCTTTGCTTGAGCAGTTGTTGACAATAGAGGATGGACTTGTATCCACTTAAGATGCCTCCTCAAAGTCACGCTCCACGAGCCTCTCCCAAATATTCTTGTATATGTGGATGCATATACATATATCCACATAGGATACATATACATATATCCACATAGAGCAAGCAGGGCTGGACCTGGTGATCTCGTGAGGTCCCTTCCAGCCCCTAACTTCTATGTGAGGAGACCAAATATAAAGGAAGTGCGTGGCCCTGGAGTACATGGGAAAAGTGGCCTCTTCCATCAGCTTGCAGGCAAGAGAATTCAAATCCCCGTGCACCGACTGATGTTCAAAGCAGTTCCCCTGGAGAAAGCCGTTGCCAGCTGCAGATCACTGTAGATCTTCTCAAGGCTTTGCAGCATACACAGACAGGCACTGGAACGGGAGTAGGGGTTGGCCAGTTGATCAGCGTTGGAAGGTTTTACAGAGGAGATTGGATTAGAAGAAAAAATGTTGAGACCTGAAATGCCCTTCCAGGGAAATTCACAGTTGTTTTATTTTTATAAATCGCTTGGGGATGGTGTTTGGAGCCGAGGGGGCAGACAAGATGGGGAAAGGTTGGTTCAGCGATTGGGTTCTGTGCTTAGTCCTCCCGCCAATCCATCTTTTAAGTCCCATCTTTGTTTCAGCTTTTTCAGTCATGGCAAGTGAAACAGATTGCTTAAGTTCTTGCTGTTTCTTAGGACTGCTGACACTGACAGCCCAGATCTGAAAGCACTGCAAAAACAGATCACAGAGTACAAGGCTCTCCGCCAGGCTGCTGAAGTGGAAAGAGACAGGCACACAGCACTAATCGCTGTGTTGCAGAAAAGGTATCAACTGATTTTGCTGTTTCCTTTTGAACGTTTGAGAGTCTCACACATACTGCATGCTATATGCCGTTGGGGTGATACTTTTCTTCCAATAGGTGCTGCTGTCTTTGAATGCTTACCGTCGCCAAATCGTGTTTTTCCTTTTCAGGCCTCTTGGAACAAAAGGACAGGGGGAAAAAAGCATCAATGTTATTAAGCCCAGAATTTGTTGTCCTTGTGGGTGTTTAGGGTAATATGAATGCATAATGTTACTGCAAGCATCGGTAGTGAGTGCTGTGATCAGAATTGTAGTCAGATTTCCATTCCAAGACTTTTTGGTTTTCACAAGCTCACAAAGCTTTCCCAGCAAGTCTCCTTCTGGCTAAAATTTCCCACACCACCAGCAAAATAGTGACTTTTATCTTTTTTAAATGCAAGTTTGAATAAACTCCAAGCATCTGTTTTAGTTATAAAAAAAGTGCACGAAACCATCCTTTTCCTCTTTAGACAAGTTTCAGGTGCAGGTTTTGCCCAGAAACAAAATCCAGAAGATCTTCTTGTCTGCATGAAATATTTCCATCTCTTCATTTTTTTTTAATGTATTAGGTAAATATTTTGCTTGCTTGACTTTATTTTACACTGGATATCTTGCTTCACTTACCTGGATTTCAGCTTTTGCAGGTAATTATGGGCATTAATGTATATATTTTATATCTACTGCTTCATAATGACCTGCACAGATACTATCCACACACGCGCACACACACACTTTTTACTTATGCTTGCACTCCCACTGATGTCATTGGTACTGTGTAAGTAGGTAAGGATCAGGCCTTGAAATATGAAATAATAATGATGGGAAGCACCAGGCTCAACAAAATTCACTGCTAAAGGTGAAATGTGCCATGGAGCAGCAACTCAGCAGTCCCACAGGCATCACAGAATTATCCTGCGCTGTCACAGGAGTTATCACAAAAATCTCACAAAATTCACAATCTCTGTAAGGCTCCAGGGTAATACAATGCTGTTCCACTAATATTTTAACATGAGTATATAGAAAAAATAAGCCTTCGCTTAGGGCTGAGGCACTAAAACTCATGTTAACAAGGTGTAGAACAATGGAAGGTATTAAAAAAGTGGAACTTGTATATGATGAAAGGCTGGAAAAAAAGACCCTGATTTAGGACTCCTCTCTGCAAACACTTACCACTGCTTAGAGCACCTACCCATTGAAGTAACACGCTGTGACACTGGGAAGGATCAGAGTTCATGGGAAGCTCTGATCTGAGTTCTTGTCAATGCAGGCTGTCACAAAACCTAACCAGCCCCTGTTTTCCACCGTTTCCCTAACACAGAGCTAGGGATCACTTGATGCAATGAAAGGCAGTGATTTCAGAACCATTAAAACGAAATGCTGTTTCATGAAGCACATTGCCAGCCTGTAGAAATTCACTGCCACAAGAGGTCAGAGTGTCTCTTTCTATGGCTGCAGTTTTAAAAGAACAATATAATTTTATGACTCTTATAATGTTTTTAGCTATGTAAGCTGAAAGAGTAATAAAACGACTCCCATCTCTGGCTTCAGGAGTCTATAGCAATCACCCGCAGGGGGCTGGAAGTAAGTTTCTCTCCCTTCACGCAGCACTGTACAGTAGGTGAAGTTCATTGTTTGAATCATCTGGTCTCGGCCCCTGCCCTAGATATGGTGCACTGCTGGTCTGATGAAGTCTGGCAGCTGCTGCGGTTCTGTGTCAGAGTGGACAGCTAGTCATTGAAGACACGATAGGAGGTTACTCTGAAATAAAGACATGGTCCCACTGTAGGTCCTTCAGCAGCTGAGCACTGAAGTAGCCATGCCTGCTTTCCTAATAGCAGCCGTGTGCATGGTTCAGCCTTTGCCATAAATTCTCTGGGGGCCTCATCGCAGCCCTTCAGTGTGCTCCTTAGCAGCTAAGTTTATAGAAGGTGCTACTCAGCTGCTTTTCATGTTGCACATTATAAAGGAGACGTCTGTGGAAATCATTGCTATTTATATGGAAAGACAGGATGACTCGATGCTTGAGGACAATGTAATCACTTTGCCTCGGTGCTATTCCAGCACATTGAAAAATGGAAGCAGTTTATTTCTGCTGTAATAACTGATCTGCCCTCAGCATCAGTAATTGTTTGTTTGGGAAATTTATGAGCGCCCATTGCTAAGGGACCTGGGTAGCTTCACTCAGTAATAATTATGTACAAGTCGTAAACTGTGCTGACTACTTAACTCCATGTTGCCCATGGAGAGGCTCCATCTTAGATGAATTGCACTGGAGCATCTGCCCCTGGGGGCATGGCCAAGTCTCCTATTCATGTCACTGAAAGCTGGGGCAGGATTTGAAACCGAGATGCAGTAAGGTGGATTCTTTATGCATAAAGAAATACTGACGTGTGTATTCAGACTCTGAACTATTTTGACCCTCAGGGTGGACGAATGCCACAATAAAGTTTTGGAAGCTGAGAAGAAGCTTCAAGAAGAACAACGTAGATCGGTCATTTTGGAGCAGCAGCTCGAGAAACTGAAAATGGATACAGGGAAGAACGGAAACGTACAGAAACCTCCCACCAGGAACAAAGCCGGTGAGGCGCAGCACTTTGCTCGGGAGCATCGTCTCTATTACTTCCACATTCAGCAGCCAAGGAGAGCGACTTATAAAACAGCCCCAAGGAACGGCACCCAGAGCAAAATCCTGGCCTTACTGAATTCATTCAAACTTTGTCTTTGACTCCAGTGGGACCAGGATTTCACTCGCAGCACATAAGGCTTGGCAGGGTTGGACCCTCAGGGAGGAATTTGATATTGCAGTACATTGCCACCACTTCTGCCACTGTGTTTGCTTCATTCTCTTGCTCTGAAAGATTTGGTTGAAGGTTAAATTAAGAGCGGAACTGAAGGATGCATCCTGATTTAAGGCCTGTCAAGGTCTATGAAAAACTATGGCTGGTGATGAAGTAATTAGATCTTGGGTGATTTATTACCTCTAGAACACGATAATCTCCTGCTATAAATATGAAAGGCTCACTAACACAGTTAAAGAAGCAAAATTCACTGCGGAACGTTAAATTTTTATTTCCTTGATCAGAGCCTTTTATTGCTTACGGACTGTGGTCCTGTGAAATATCTAAAGCTATAAAATTGTACATATTCTTAAGGAAACTTTTACAGTAGTTTCCCTTTCTTTAAATACTTTGATAAAGTAATAAGGCATTCATTATATAAGAGGGATCACAACTTCCATTTGGCAAGTAACTCAGCTGCTTCTGGTCTGGCTGGCTTGCATTTAGGCCTTATGGTCTATACACACTGCACATCCCCTCACCTCCCTCCACACATTTCCTTTTCATTGTTTAGGCCCGAAGCAGGCTGCATGGCTGGAAGGGAGAGAGGGATGGTATTGCAGCCATATGGTGTTTCTCTGTGGTTCAGCTGATCTCATGCATGTGGTGTGCCTAGGCGGGTCCATACTTGGTAGAAAGTTCTCCAGTCCGTGCAGGGAAGTGTTGGTTATTCATTGGGAGCTACATTCACATGGGGGCTTCCATTAAGTATTGCATTGCCTATCTTTTAGTTGCTACACTGCCTTTTAGCATTAATGACCAGAACTGGATGACTTCCCTGTTACAATACACAGGGAGAGGTAGGCAGCTAAGAGTGGGGTTCATAGAAGCCAGCATGCTGAGTGGAGACCACTTGTGCTATCTAGCAGGAAGTGCCAAGGGCAGGGGCACAACTATTTTGAAGCTGTTTCATTTTTAATAAAATACTTAACTATTCATTAAAGCAGGGACTGGAACCTGTGTGTAGCAGGCACATCCCCTAGCCACCAGGTTATAGGGTCACTCTTGTGCCCTGTGAATGTTAAATTATTGATGTAAAATGGCATAACTGAAACAGGAGAGACTGATGGAGACTCACCTCAGAATACCCTGTCACCCAGGAGTTAGGGCATCTCCTCTAATTTGTCGATTGGTCATCTTCTGTGGTTTATGTGCCAAACTAATGATGGGAAGGCTGTGAGGTTAAGGCTGGGTGTGGGCCACTGAGATTCAGTCTGAAAGCACAGACCTGATTGATTTGAGAATTTTTTGCCAGCAGATCAAGGGCAGTGATTCTTCCCTTCTATTCAGCACTGGTGAGACCACATCTGGAGTCCTGTGTCCAGT